AACCCAAGGGGCCCGTGAGAGGGATCCAGCTTTAAGGTTGGGAGAAGCTACCCAAATGAATGAGATCCCGAGCAGTTCCCTGAGCACCCCCTCAACTAAAAACACAGGAAAATTGTGTCCCCCGTATCAAGAGGATACAAAACGTCTAAAGTGTTAACATTCGGTGGCGGGTGTTTTTTAAAGCAGTTCCACAGTTCCCGTTGTCTCTAATCGGAAGGTTATATAAAAAAAAAAAAATTCAGGGAAATCGAGAAAAAGAAATTACTTCGGAAGAATAGCAAACAAGAAAAAACAGAAACAAAGAAGACTCGCGGAACACGATGGAAGAGGAGAGGGAGTTAGAGGTATGAATTACTGAAAAGATACTACAATCCGCTTTTAGAACATAAGAATTAGGAGCAGGAGTAGGCCATTCAGCCCCTCTAGTCTGCCCCGCCATTCAATAAGATCATGGCTGATCTATTCTAACTCCACCCGCCCGCCTTATACCCATATCCCTTAATCCCTTTATCCACAAGAAATCTATCAATCTCAGTCTTGAACATGTTCAAGGATTGAGCATCTACAGCCCTTTGGGGCAGAGAATTCCATAAATTCACTACCCTCTGAGTGCAGATGTTTTTCCTCAAGTCAGTGCGAAAGGGCTTACCCCTAATTTTAAGACTGTGACCCCTGGTTATAGTTTTTCCAACCAGGGGAAAAAGTCTCCCACCTTCTATTCTGTCGTGCCACTTAATAATCTTATAGGTTTCTATAAGATCACCACTCATTCTTCTATATTCTAGAGAATATAGGTCTAAATTGCTCAACCTGTCCTCATAACTCATCCCTGGTACCAACCTAGTGAATCTACATTGTACCCCCTCCAAGGCAAGTACATCCTTTCTTAAATAAGGAGACCAAAACTGCACACAATACTCTGTGGTGCGGTCTCACCAGGGCCCTATACAGTTGCAGCAATACCTCCCTACTATTATATTCTAACCCTTTTGTAACAAATGCCAACATACCGTTAGCCTTCCTAATTGCTTGCTGCACCTGCAAACTAACTTTTTGTGACTGGTGTACAAGGACACCCAAGTCCCTCTGAACGCTAACACTATCTAGTTTCTCCCCTTCTAAAAAATAATCTGCTCTACTGTTTTTGCCACCTTGGTGGATGACCTCACACTTCCCTACATTATACTTATCTGCCACCTATTTGCCCACTCACCTCGCCTATCTCTATCTTGTTGCATTTTTTAATGTCATCCTCGGTGTTTACTCTCCCTCCTAGTTTAGTGTCATCCGCAAATTTGGATATATTAAGTTCAATGTCCTCATCTAGACCAATTGTAAATAGCTGAGGCCCAAGCACTGATCCTTGCGGCACTCCACTAGTCACATCCCGCCAATCTGAGAAGGACCCGGTTATCCCTACTCTTTGTTGTCTTCCCGTTAACCATTCTTCAATCCATGCTAATATATTCCCCTTAATTCCATGGGCCCTAATCTTGTGGATCAACCTTTTATGCGGCACCTTATCAAATGCCTTTTGGAAATCTAAATACACTACATCCACTGATTCCCCCTTATCTAATCTACTTGATATGTCCTCAAAAAAATCTAAAAGATTTGTTAAGCATGACTTCCCTTTTGTAAAGCCACGTTGACTCTGTCTAATTATATTGTGATCCTCTAAGTAACCCACTACAACATCCGCTATATCAAATGCAAGGATTATTATTATTAATTAATAATTAGCTGTAGCTGTAGTCCTGTAGCTCAGTGGTTAGAGTACTCGCTTTGCAAGTGAGAGACCTGAGTTCAATTCCAGGCAGAGGGCGAAACCTTGGGCAAGTTTCCTTACTCCACACAGAGCCTAATAATAATCTCTCCAAAACCAAAAACAATAATAAAATTGGCCATTTTCAATCTACGACTGTCTGTGAGACATTGCTGTGCGCAATTGGCTGCCGCGTTCGCCCACAAATATACAGTCAATTCACTTTACAGTGTGTTCTGTGAAGCGCTTTGGGACGTCCTCCCGACGTGAAAAGCGATATATCAAATGCAAGGATTATTATTATTATAATTAAGGATTCTAGAATTTTCCTTCCCACCGATGTCAGACGAACTGATCTATGGTTCCCCATCTTTTCTCTCCCACCCTTCTTAAGTAGTGGTGTGACGTTTGCCATCTTCCAAGATCAGACACAAGGCCTCCACTATCTCATGAGTTACCTCTTTTAAAACCCTAGGATGCAGACCATCAGGTCTGGGGACTTGTCACTTTTTAATGCCAACAATTTCCCGAGCACCAATTCTTTGCTAAAGTAAATTTCCCTAAGTCGCTCCCTATCATTAGCCCCTTGGTTCATCTCTCTTCAACTCATTTGTTTGGTTTCCCTTCCTCGGAATCAGTTCTTATTTTGCTCTTTCCCCTGTGTGCTCCCATTCCAAAACCCACACCTCTTCGCTGTGATATAACCGGAGAAGTTGCTAAATTTACAGCAGGGAGAAGTATCAAAGCTTAGGAGAGACATGGCCTGAAAATGATAGACCAACACTTGCTCAAATCAGCTTAATATGGCAAGTTTTTAAATAAGAATTGTTTCTATACATCTCAAAGAATGGCAGTAATCGTCGGAACTCGTTGAACTCGTTGGAACTCGTTGCCTATTTTGTCAGAGCTCCTGTGACCTGGAGTTAGTGTAAATGGTTCAAATAAAAGTAAATAAAAGGTTTCTCAAGATGGTGGTGTGCTGCAGTACTGAAGTCCCATTTGACAACTGTGAGTACCCCACTGTATTATTCTAATATTGTCTGGCTTGAAGCCACGGTCCATATCAAGGCACGTCTGCGAGCTGGTACTTAGGCACTTAGGCTGGTAAGTTTGCACACGTGGGATTAAACAACATAGTAAATAAGCCATTGAAGCCAACAATTTAGCTAAAGGTACGTCTCTTCAATCCTGTTCAAGATCGTGGTTGCAATTCCATTACTTTCCCTGCCTTCAAATTCCCTTTGGACTTTGTCTAAATAGATCATTTCTGCTCGTTTGTGGACCTTTAGAAGCGCGAGTGGCTTACGCTAGCTTCTTATACGAGAGACATGGCCAAGTGAACCGCACGTAAAAGTTATGGGATTTGTGATAGCTAAACAGTGGTAAGGACCAAGCAACAAAGGAACAAGGACAACTATAGCTATGTATTGCACAACAACATTACATCTGCATAGCGCCTTTTGTGTCAGGAGGATGTCCCAAGGCGCTGGACAATCAGTGTTTCGAACCCGAGCTGGGGGTCAGGATCGAGGTTGGTGGAGGGCAGGGGTGGGAAGGAGGGTGATCGAAGGCATGGTCGAAGAGGAGGGTCTTGAGACGGATCTTGAAGGAGGCGAGGGAGGAGGCGAGGGAGGAGGGACTGTGGGATAGAGTTCCAGAGGATGGGGGGCAGAGTGGCTTAAGGCCCGCAGGCCAATGGTGGGGTGGGCGAGGCGGGGGACGTGAAGCAGGCCGGAGTCCGCTGAGTGGAGAGATTGGGCAGGTTGGTAGGGGGGGAGCAAGGGGGTGGGCTTTCAAAGTGAGGACCAGGATCTTCAGCTGTATCCTCTGTGTGATGAGAAGCCAGTGGAGTCGGGCGAGGATGGGGGCGATAGGGTCACGGACCCTGGTGCGGGAGAGGACACGGGCTGCAGAGTTCTGGACGATCTGCAGCCTGTGGAGGGAGGAGTTGGGGCGCCCGACAAGCAGGGAGTTTGCGTAGTCAAGCCTGGATGTTATGAATGCTTGTAGTAAGGATAAAGGCAGGAACTTTACACTGCGTTGATCGAAAGGACTCGATCAGGCTCCGTCACTGTTAAGCGCTCTGAGACGCTACCCTGAGTGGAGGGCGTTATATAAGTGCAAGCTGTTGCTGCTGTTGCTGCTTCATCTGTGACCACAATATTTACGAGTCACCAGAAATTCCAAAATGCTATCCGTGCTATTTCCGCAGGGTTTCTGGTGGAAAGTCCAGCGTAAGCGCCCGGTGAACCTGCACGTAAAAATTTATTTGGCACGGGCTGCAGAAGGGTCTAACTGCTGAATTGCTGCGGAAACATTTGCTGAGGAGCTAACCGGACTGAATTAGGGCTGGGCCGGGCAGTTGCTTACGTTGCACCACAACTGCCTTGGCTCAACATTGGTGGACTCCAATCGGCTTATTAAGAAGGGAAATGGCGCTGTCCGAGTTCAAACCTGAAACCGTTGGGATTTCAAAGTGCAAAACATCCACGAATTCAGTTACTTTTAAAAAGAACGAACGCCGTTTCATTGGTGGTGCTGTCTCCTTTAACAAAGGCTCTCGTTCGCATTCTTTAGCGCTGGACTTTAAGATGAATTCAGCACTTGTTTACTGGGAATTGTTTTTTTCATGAAGCCGTATCTATTGACAACAGAATTAAGAAGACAATATTTTATCGTCTTCGAAAATATCCGAGTATTTTAATTCATTCAATTCTTACCGACGTCTTGGGAGGGGGAAGGAAGCGGAGGTGGTGGTGGGGGGGGGGGGGATCACACCTCAGCCTCTGAACACGTCAGCAAAAAAGGGAAAATCTGCCCTATGTTATGAGTGTGTTGGAAAATGGAGCTTTATGCAACGCTGGGTGATAGGTTATTGAAATGAACGAGAGTCTTGTTATGCCCGGCAAGGCTTCCTCCACTCCTGCACAGAGCGAGATACATATTTTAAAAAGCTTAACGAAGTTTTAACGTAGCATTGAAAAGACGAGGACAAACCTAATGTCTAAGCTCAAAGAGGTAATACAGCCGTTCCAGGAAACTGTTAAAGGTTACACTGCTAATTCCAGAAAAACGCACCCAAGCAGAACACTGAATTCCAAATGCATTAAACAATTTCCTACGCTGCAGAATTCTTGAGGCAAGCGTGCCTACTTCAGTGCAAAGTGCTAACCGTAAAAAAAAAAACCACTAATAATAACCTTGAGTGTGATGTACCGCCTTTCGAAGTCGGGAGGATGTCTCAAAGCCCTTCACGGGATTGACTGTAAAGCGTCGTGACTGCGTGGTTTGTAGGCAGAGCGGACGTGGTTTGTGGATGAAGGTAGGCTACCATGGGGGGTTGGAGGGGTGGGGGCGGGGGCATGCAGCAGCAACAACAGCAACAACTTACACTCGTATAGCCCCCTTCGCGTCGGAAAGACATCGGAGGGCGCTGGACAACCAGGGGTTTTGGAGTATCCCAAAACAGAGAAATTTCACAGAGGGTTGTTTGGAAAATAAATTGCCTTTTGTAAACGCAGATTGTAATCGGGGTCCAAACTTTTGCAAAGGCGTGAGCACATTTCTACCGAGAACCTACGCACATTTTGTGACGGGAGCGTGCATTTCAACAGGGACTTCGGATGGCGACTCGGAGTGCTTAACAGTGGCAGGGCTAGAAGCAGTGGATGGCGAGGTGACCCATGGCGTGGGTGAAGAGGTAGGTCTGAAAGGGGGGGTATAAATATAGATATAAGCGGAGGTGGTGTGAGCGGGAGGGATTGAGGCAGGCAGTTCCAGAGGTTAGAGGCGTACCAGGAAAGAAAAAAAGACAAGAAAATTATTTGCCTCAACAATTGCAGCTCCTTAAAGACAAAATGCGTTCCGGATTTTCAAGTAAATTATTAATCTGTTATTTGTGAGGCACAGTATTTGCTCAGTCTGCTGCACTATTTGGGCCAATAAAAGATAAAATAATGAAAGATGCAGTGATCTGATTGTGGGAACAGTTTGACTCACTTAGTTACAGGGAAGAAATACTGTACCTTCGCTTTAACTCCTTTTAATAGTCAATCTGCTAATGATTCATTTAAGGTGAGTGAGTCCTCAAAATCACAAGGTCCATATATCAGACGATCCATATTATGATTCAAAAGAATAACATTAGCAATAATGCTTACATTTAATGTAATAACTTATCACGTTGTTGAGATGCCTCAAAACATTGGCCTAATTCTAGACGCTCTAAAACCTTGCAGAAATAGGGAGTAAATCTCGGGCCAGTTGGGATTTCTCCCTCAGGCGCCACACACAAAAATCACATTGAACTAAGGCGAGTGACGTATTCAGACCTATCCCATCCTACACCACAACTGTACGTTGAAGAGCTATCAGGGCACACAGCAGCATGGCTCGACGCTGAAGCCAGAAAGGGTGTGGTAGGTGACCGAAGGCACTGTCGAAGAGGAAAGTCTTCAAATGTGATTTGAAGGTGGGCAGAGAGGAAGCAAGGTGGAGGGATTGGGGCAAGGAGTACCAGAGATTCAGGGCGTAGTGGCTGAAAGCAATAGTGGAGCGGAGGGGACTTGGGATGTGTTAGCTGAGAGAGGTCGGGTACACAATACTGACAGTACATCTGCCATAAACATTCAACAAGTCAAGTTTACCCTTTTTAACCAAGTGCGTTATGTGATAAACACATTATATCTGGAGGATTGCATCTTCCCTCATAGCATCCCGGCTGTGCTGAACTAACTCGTTCCCAGTGGATACAACCGGGGACTTTCCTGGTCTGCGCGGCTCAGCGGCTCACTCGGTAAACTCCGAGCGTCATCAGACCGCCTTAGATTTATTTTTAATAGAGCCAAATCCAGCCGGATCTGTTGCTGCATCCAAAACGGTAGATAGCCCCGGGAAGGAATGGCAATTTCTGCTCCCCGCCTTGTTGCCTTCATAATTAATTTGTCGCACGGGTCAGCAAGAGCACCCGGGTATTTTACAATTATTTTCCGCTGAGAAATGAGGACTGTTGAAAACAAGAACTTACTTCAATGGGGGAACTGCCTTGGATTTGTTTACCGTCTCATCAATTGTCAACCCCCGAAAGCTTGGGAGCTCTCCCCCCCCCCGGGGTCTGCGTACTTGGGGAGCAAGGGAAGGCCTTTAGTCGGGTGAAAAAAATCAGGGTGGAGGGGTGGGGGGGTGGTCGGAAAAATTGCAACGTGATTCGCATTTGGAAACCAAATCGAATAACGGGTCGATTCCCGTCATCTCATTCATAATGAATGAGAGGATACGGGGAGGGGGAGGGGGAATTTAAAACACTGTGCTTCACAACAATAAATGTATTGAAAACGCCCGGAGCAAAGACATATACTTACGAGCGCGCTCTCTTATGCTCGGGAATAATCAGGCTAAAGCCTATTATGAGTGAATGCGATTATCGCATTTGGAATTTTCCACAAAGAAGGATGTGCTTTCCAGGCAGCGTGACATCAGCAAACTGGTGTTTTTTTGTTGCCTGGAGACAAGCGCAGCTGAAAGCCGCATACCAGCCTTACTCGCGATTGTACAGGCAACAATACACCGTTGGCTCGAACCCAGGGTCAAGGATGAACGATATTGTTCCTCCTACAAATCTGCTGAAATGCCCCTGCAGTTAAATTGCCAGGACTGTGCATCCATTGTGTCCAGTTCCCTTTCAGGCTTGGGATCTTTAAGGCATTTCAACACAGATTTTCTAACTGAAGATACATTATTCCCCTCCCACCCGCCCCCGCCTCCCGCCCCCCAAATAAAATCGGTTGTTCACGTCGCGTCGTGACTGTTTGCGGGACACCGGTGTGTGCAGGTCCTTCGGCACGTCTGCCTACAAAATATGCAGTCCCTGCACTTGACAGCATATCCTGTGAAGAGCTTTGAGACATCCTCCAGACACGAAAGGCTCCGTAGCAAGCGTAGCATTGTTATTATTTTTAATTATTTGTGCGGTAAATCCCCCAGACTGAACTTCTATTGCTTTATTCTGACTTGTTCCTTCTGTTTAGTTAAGCAGCGGCCTACAGTGCAATCTCACTTCAGACTGTAGGTTACGCATCATGGGTCAACCTCCAAACAGAGCTGAACTCGATTTGCCAGATGCATTGACAATTCAACCAGCAATGTAGAGTTGCGATCGCAGCATCGCTCCAGAACACGTTCTGCGGTTCACTGCAGATAGCTATACAGACCATTGTAATGACAATTGATTTGCACCGCAACTTTCTTGCCTCACCTTCTGCCGTGCAGCGGTTTGTTTCCACTTTCCTTCCATTGAGGACCTCTTTCACGTGAGCCACCCGCTGTCAAGCTACCAATGTTCAAGAGTCATCCTTGACAGTGAGCGTCAGCAGGCTATTTTACTGGGAGCCGCCTTGCTCCTGTGCCCAAGCTTGTCCTTGCCCAAACCCTACGCAGGAATTGCCTGTTTGAGAGTAATCAGGGATTGGAACAGCTAACTGGTCGACCCCTGAAACCAATTGTGGTCCTGATTGAAGTCAACTCTGAGAACAAACAACAGACTCAATCCTTAGGAGTGTCTTCAGTGTGTGTGTCCGCTGGATAACCTTACTTATGGGAAGACTGCTGCATATTTAACTGATGATTTCAGATTTATTTTTTTTCCGCGGGTGAACGCACAGCAATGTCCCACAAACAAATACGAGTTAATGACTAATTGATCTAGAGGATTGTTGCCCGAGACATTGGGGAAATTCCTCTTCAATTAACAGCCTGAAGCTTGAACTGAACAGGCCAATGATATCTTGCATTCAACGTTTCATCCAAAGTCCGGCACCATCGCCAATGCAGTCACTCCCCCGACACTGCACTAGAATATCAGCACAGGCAGTAAACAAGCCCAAACTTGGGAGGTGAACTCGCAACCTTCTGATCCAGAGGCAAGAATCCTACCCAACTGAGCCAAACTGACACCCAACGCTGGCATCACTCAGAGCACAAAGCCTAACTACTCGGGAGATGGAGGCTTTCACAGCACATCCTTTACGCTTCATTAATTTCTCCAAAGACAAACTGTCAGGCCAGCAGAAGGTTTGTGTTACTGCAGCGCTTCTAAAAATGTGCGATGTGCTTCACTGCACATACGCACACCGAGATGTAGACCCCCCCCCACCCCCAAATATCTGTCCACATCGAACGCAGGGAGTCTGTGATTCCATTCATTTTACTGAGGCTTTACCGCACAAAAGTATTTCTGGGAGAATTTTCACAAAGTCACTGGGAGATGAATGCAAGATCCCTTTATTCCACACGATTACAGGATTGTTTGGCAATGGCCGTCACGTGTAAAGACACCTTTCGGAGAGGCAACGGTTAGGTCCAAAATCTGCTTGGTAAAACCGATGCAAAATTCAAGGAGCAAAGTTGAGCGAAAATACAGTTCAGCCATGTTCGGAAGAAATCATCCGCTAATTTTCAAGCACCGATGGTGGAGGCTGGATACGTTTAGGGGTGTCTTGCACGAGCTGGTCAAAGCCGTCAGGATCGGGTCGCTGTGTATTGCGGGAAACTATCGGGGGTTATTCGTCTGCAAACTTGACAAGGAGTGCAGGGAGCGAGTAAGAAAGGAGCTTCAGTAGTCTCCTCCAAACAGGAGTGTCGCAACAATGTCCAGAACACTGGCACCAAGTACGACCTCGTATCAAAAACGAAACAGAGTGTTTGGGGTGACGCAGTGTCCTCTCTTGAGTGACGGTTGCGGTTTCGGGCGGGTCTGCTTGCGAGATGTTCCCGCAAGCAGATTCCATCTTTCTTTCCGTAATCCACTCGGTACAGGGAGAAAAGGCTCCCGTCCGCCCTCGCAACGACACACGTGCGGGCCAAGTGTAAACGATCGCTCTGCTTCTGTCGAGCTGCCGTTGAATCTGCCGCCAGGGAGGCCCACGGAGACCAGAGGTGGTTGCAGCGCAGGCCGGAGGCGATCGGGTTAAAACCACTTCTCCACTTCCGAGATCAACTGAGAATCACAACTTCTTCTGAGCACGAGCGAAGGCGAACTGGATGGACCTCGGTTCTTCTTTACTCTTTGGGCGATCGGGACTTTGCGCGATCAAGCTTTGCGTAAGGCAACAATCTTCCCTGACAAGTCTTTCCTTGTTTCGATGCACCCCCAGGCAGTTACGTAACTCATTCAGCACCATCGCGGAATCGGCCTGAGTTCACTGGACGCTGGGAACAAGCTTGCCTTGATCCTCCTTCACTGAAAACTGGGCTACGCTGGAAAGTCTACCCGACAGAAGAGGTTCCTTTCCATCCGATACCAGTTGTTTCACTTGTCCCGCTCGATCTACCCCACCATCGCGGGCGAGCTCTCAGCCACTCTGCTCTCGCTCGCTCCCTCGCTCGCTCAAACTCCAGCCTCCTCTCTCCCCACTTTCAAAGCCCACCTTAAGATTTACCTCTTTGACCTTGCATTCAGTCATCCTTTCTCTCTCCCACCCTCCTTAGCGATCACCCGCCCAGCCCCTACCCCCAGTTTGGACGCCCAGCCAGTTGGGCGAAGCACTCTGAGATCTGCTCCTACTGCGTAAGGGCTGTAGAGATATCATTTGTATTGTGTTGTAAATCCATTCAATGGCACCAGCTCCACTTTAACCATTTTTTGGGGGAAATCCCCAACAGATCTCTGGAAGGATTGACGTTCACTGACATGTGAGGAGAGCTGAACGCTGCACGAAACGGACAGCCTGCTTCTTCTTCTCGACTGTTCTTGACTCTTGTCACACTCTGGGGAGGTTTGTAGTGGCAGAGTCACAGAATGGTCTGTGGCGGAGGGGGATTGGGCTTCTGGTGTGTGTGGGGGGTGGTGGTGGGTGCTTGATGGGCTGAATAGCTTCCCCCTTCCCCTCCCCTGTTCTTAATCTCCCACTCTTGCATCGAATGCATGACGTAGCCTTGTAAACGCTTATATATTTATTGGAAACGTTATTTATTTCCTCTGCAAATCGAAGCCCTTGGCCGTTATTATTGCCTTAATTATTTTTTGCGGCTCACTTGTGCACTTCGCGCGGTAAGCTGGGCCTCTAATGCATCAGAATCCCCTTCTTCACCAGATAAAACACCTGCCATCGAGACACAACTGCTTTGCCATATGTCACAGCGCTCTGCCAAGCTGTGCTACTTGTGAAAATAAATTTCGAGTCAGCGCGGCTCAAACCCGGCATTCGTCAATGCTTCAAAGGACGAACGTCGGGTTCTACCACCGCCAATTAAGCGTTGCTTCTCAATCGGCACACGTAAAAGACGGGATCGTTACTTCACGCGAGTTTTTTTTTTTGGTTAACGTGACGGAATTGTTTTGCCCGCTGCACAGTTGCATTCAGATACGTTCAGCCGGTGCAGCAAGACATGCCAGCTTTCGCACGCACTGAGAAACAGCTAACCACGGGATCAGGTTGCCTGGAAACAACACGATGATTACTGGCCACAGTAGGTTAGGAAGAAATTTTTACCTGTTCCTTGAGGAACATTTGTCAAAGCTTATTAAAATGATATGAGGGTGGGAAAATGACGCAGTCCTGTTCCGAAAAATAAACTCCATTGGCCATTTGTTTTATTTAAAGGTATACACCGTATTTGACGTGGTGCTTTTTACGAACACGACGCAATAATTCTGATGGGTTATAAATCGACACCTTTTTAAAGATAGAAAACAATTGCTATTAATTTACCAGTCTCAGGCATGGTCGAAAGGAAAAAAAAAGGTAAAATACTCATAGCAGTCGCTGAAAATCACACATGAAAGCTGTGACAAACTGCCATCCTGCATGTGCCAAAGGCAGAAAGACCAACTAATAACATGTATCTGTTTTCTTCTGGGGTTCTGCGCTCTCTGGCACTTGCATTTAAGGCACGACTTTCAATCAGTCCCTAATTCTGCTTTGAAATGGCTGCCGGTTTGTTTCATAGCATTTGTGTTTGTGGGACAAGGCTCGGGGCACACTGGCTGCTGTGTTCGCCTACAAGTACGCAGTCACTGCACTTCAGAGTAAAAACCCTGTGAAGTGTAAACTGGGATTATCATTATTATAATTTTTACTCTTATTCCATTATATTTCTCAGAGGCACATTCAGTGCCCCTCTGTTCGTGTGATGAGTGATTTTAAACATCCAATTTATCGTTCACGTTTGCTAAGTTGGGTCCAACAAACCATTCTGAGGAGCTTGTGCCAATCAAATTGTTCTACTCTCATGAAGGAATTCATTGAAACCGTTAATTAACAACGATATTTGGATTTGGCGAAGTGCGTTATCAAACCACCGAAATATCTCAAAAGCGTTTCACAGGATTTTACTGTGAAGTATAATCCATTTGATGCACCTGTTGCATGTTTTCAGCACGTTTCATCCTTCCCATCCCCTATATTTCCAGCTGTTAATTTTATAATATATATACGTTTAAAAAAAGTGCCTTATCATGTCACCGAGACGTCTCAAAGCGCTTCGCAGGATTTTCCTGTGAAGTGTAGTGACTGTGTATTTACAGGTGAACCTGGCAGCTTAATATGCACGCAGCCAATAGCCCTGCAAACCGTTTTCATTTGTAAGAGATTTATACCGAGCCCCTGAGGGCGATGGAAATACAACAGCAGCGACACAGGGGGGTCAAAAATGCTATTCGCGGCGATCGAGTCATTCATACCTACCGGAGCTCTGCTCCGAAAGGATAAACAGGAAGGAGATGAAGCCAGAGGACATAATTAATCCCTCCAAAACCCAAAACAATAATAAATTGGTCATTTTCAATCCACGACTGTTTGCGGGACATCGCTGTGCACAATTGGCTGCCGCCTTCGCCCACAAATATACAGTCAATTCACTTTACAGTGCGTTCTGTGAAGCGCTTTGGGACGTCCTCCCTCTAATCTAATCGGGCCCATTGTTAGGAACCCACGTGCGCTAAGTACATTTGTTTTGCTGTCGTCTTCCGTAAACATGCCATGTCTCGGAACATATGTCAGATAAATAAGTAGAGTGTGGATTTTGTTTTAACAACAGATTGGTGAGGGGAGCATTACGGTGATTTATCGACTGCTGTCAGTACAAAGTGGAAATAGTGGAACGAAAAGTGCTTTGCTTCTTTTCATTCCATGGATTTCTGGAGGACGGGGGGTGGTGGTGGTGGTGGGGGGGGGGGGGGGGGTGGTGGTGTTGGGGGTGGAACTGGTTGCAAGTGCTAGTTAGCTGAATGGAGGAGAGGAGATAGAAATCGAAGAGACGAAGAGAAATCGGGCGAGGATTTGGGCGGTGGAATATCAAACCGCTCCCTTTACCTGGAGAGCGGTGTCTACCGGTTGATGGTTACCAACCATTCCTGATTTAACACAGTGTAGTCCAACTGGTGGCCCGCGGGCTCGGTGCGGCCCGCCAGCCAATTTCATGTGCCACCCACCACCCACGCTACCCCCTTCCCCCACTCTCTCCATTCCATCTGGCCCACCCGCTGACTCCATAACCCGTACATGTTATGTATCCGGTGGGGAAACACAAGATATCGTAGCAACATAGGAAAACAGGAAGAACAGGAGGAGGCCATTCAGCTCATCAAGTCCGATCCACAGGTTTATTAGAACTGAGGAATTCTTTTAATAACACTGCACTGCTCTTTTACTCCATCACTTAATATCTCTCGTTTCCCCCCACCCCCACCTCAGTACCTCTCGCCCCATCTGTTAATAACTCTCGCTCTATCCCTTAATGCTTCGGAAAGTATCAGTATCAAGAGCTTTCAGGTCAGAGTCAGCAAGGTTCAGATTCCCTCGTAGTCTGAACAGAAACAGGTCTTGGATAGAAGTCCAAAAGAGCACTTGCAACCCTTGGTTAACCAGAGGAAATATTGCCGGTTCCTTTCCCAGGCTTCTCGGAAGAAGTTTTGCCAATTTGATGTCATTTTGTTCCGTATTATGGCCAGGTTTGGTTGTGTTATGAGCAGCCCAGGTCCGCTGGGCAGCGGACGGCAGTGACCTTCTGCCAACCGTTAGAGGTAAAAGAAATCGTTCGGATGAATACACGCTGGACGTGCGCAACAGCGAAACCGCTGTCGAAATTTGTTGAGCAGAATTCCGACCGCCGCTTCAAAGAAAAGAAAAAGCCGCCGTCTTATTGCGATGGCTCACGTCGCTTCTCCCCGCAGATTTCGTTTTGCTGCCGCGCACGCCGCACGTTCGCATGTTGCGAACTTTTCTTTGCGATGTCGCCTCGTTACGCCTCATTTCGCTTCAGGGAGCCACGGTTGGACGTGTTTTCCCCCAAAAATGAGAGGAACCTTGCATTAAAGCAAGCATGCACTAAGACTGCGGCAAATTTAGTAAAGAAAGTGGCGGTACGCCCACACCCAGCGTAAAGCTACATCACAGCAACAACATTTCTTACCTTTCAACACCGAGCACTGCTGCTGCACGTGAGTCAAAACAAGTCTCGGAAAATAATTTCCAGCAGCACTTGGTTTACTTTCGCCCAACATGAAATTCCCAACAAAACTACAAACACTCACAGCCTTTCCTCTCCCCCCTCCCCCCCCGCCCCCACCCACCAACCCCCGCCCCGTGTCTCGGGGAAATCACTTAAGAAATCCAGAAGATACGAATTACGCAGTTTTCAAATAACAAAGCACATTTTGGTTTCTTTCAGTGCCCCGGCGTGCAGTGCGATGATGTCATGACTAACAGCTTTCGAGTGCAAGAAGCAAAAAAAAACATTTAAAAGCAATTTACTCGTCAGCAAAACCACTTGCGTACGACAGTGTTAAAGATACTTTCGAACAGAGAAGAAAATTGAAAACAGACAACTTACCAGTCCTGTAGATGTTGCTAGAGATAACTCCTTGGGGATGAAGAAAATCTTAACTAGTTAATCTTTGCTGAATTATCAGTATCTTCTGACATTAACATATTCGCAAACAAGCCAATTGTTTTAAAAGAAAAGGGAATTCAAGAGGTAAGCATTGTGAATGTTAAGTGTGCGTCATTGATTTCCCCCCTCACCCCCGCACCCCCCTTCGCAAAAACTTTTACCTGAAAGTAATGCATTTTAAGTGTTCTTCCATTATCTACAGTGAAGCAGATGCTCTTTGGAGACATTAGCCAAGAGGATTCCCCTTTTGGATTAGATCCAATTTACAGCATCAGTGACCACTGTACGTAGCAAAAGCTCTGTGGAGCACGAGTCAGAAAGGTGAGGGGGGCGGAGGGAGTTGTGGGGGTGGTGGTGGGTGGGGAGGGAGGGAGTTGGGAGAGGGAGGGAAGAGATAGACAACTAAACACAGTTTGGGATCAGCTTGAAAAACAGACCTAAAATATACCCTGGTGAGCTCTCAGGTGTCCGCACCGCAATCTGCCCGGTTCACCCAAAAAAAAATCAGTTTAAAAAAAACCCACAGAAAGGTGTAAAACTATTTCCCGAACATGGGATGTTTTTTTTCTGATCAAATTTCCAACATGGAAAAGAAATTGAGATGCATCGAGCAGGTTGGACCTTAACATTGACGGTGCTTACCCTTTAAATTTCCCTCTCTTTTAAATTCAATTCAGCAAAATATTTCATTTCATTACCACATATATATATCTACATACAGTTTACATGCAATTGATAGCTTTTAAACGGTAAAGGAAAATAAATAACCGAACCAAACCCCTCCCCCCAAAAAAAAAATTATTATTATCGACTCCCCAGCCACGAGTGATTTAACAATGTGGTTGATACTGGATCGAAATCAATGTGCAGTCATTACTTGAGAAATTAAACATGTAACAGTGCAATACAGTGAGGTTCGAACATGCACCCTTTGTGAACCATGTGTACAGAGAGAATTGCAGGCGCTCCTTTAACCCAACGCCTTGGGACGTCCTCCCGACATGACAGGCGCTGGACAAATGTAATCTTGTTGCTGCTGTTCTTGTTTTTACTTTGGTTATTAATTTCGTGCTGAGAGCGCCCTGCGTTTCCCTCTGCACGCGCACAAATTCTTCACGCCCGGGTTTAGGCCACTCGCGAATCGGAGCCTCGATGATTTTAAGCACATTCAGTACACACGCGGGAGTTTTGGGGGTTTTGTTTTCAAGTTTCACATCATTATCTGAATCGCATGTGGATCTGTTCCCTTTGGAAATATGTTGTCCCCATAATTAACTGCATTCACAGCTCTTCCTCCACCCCGTTCCCCCCCACCCACCACTCCCCGCCGCTACCCCAGTGAACGATGGATTGCCAATGATAATGAAGACGTAGTTTTTAAACCAGTGGATGCCAAACAGATCCAACCCTTATTGAAGAGAAATGACTGAACGTGGGACGATTTGCTACAGTACTGTTGGCGTGTCGTACGACTTTCTTTCCCAGCTGGTCTAGATTTAATTATGATGGAGTGGTTAGCTTTTATTCTCATCTGTGATTGTTTCTCCATTATCAATAGATCGCTATCGCCAGAGTAGCATTAAAGGGTTTCCACAGGAAACACTCTGCACTTGGAATTAACCAGTAAAGAACAGGAATTTAACTGACGGCTGATGTGTAGTGGGCATCAAATTGAATCGGGATAGATAAGAATAGCACTGCATATTTGTTTCTTTTTTTTTGGCCCAGTTGGTTGGCAAGTTTGTTCGAAGCGTTTTGTGTCCAGTGCTCGAGGACAGCCACCTTAATGTATGCCCAAAAGGTGTCAGCCAGGGTCAGCTCGTGGAACTCTTGCCGCTGAGTCAGAATTTTGGGGGCTCAAGGCTCATGAACTCACATAGTCAAAGCTAACGCTCCAATGCAATGCGGTGGGTGTTTCGCATTGTCGGAGGTACGGCTCATCGGATGAGGTACTAACAGTGAGATCTCGTCTGTTCAGGTGGACGCTGAAGATACCACGGGACTATTCGAAAAGAGAAGAGATTTTCTCCTGAAGTCCTGGCCAACAATCCCCCCCCCACCCCCATCCCGCAAACAAAATTGGTCACTCGCTCCATGGTTGTTGGTGAGCGTTTGCCTACAAACACGGTCACTACACGTTACTGTGAATCTGTGAAGCGCTTGGGAGACGTCTTCTCGACGTGAAAGTTGCTGCACAAAATGCAACGGTTGCTCGCATTAATAATAATAATAGTAATAAAATAGTAATAAGAATAAGAATATAGTTGAGTCGGTAAGGTGTCGATTCAAAACAGAAATGACCATTAACACGTAGAGGAAGTGTAATGTCCCTTCCAATCATAGCACAGTTCGACGCAGGTGAATGTAGTTGAACAAGCCGCTATCTTTTCATGTGCAAAGCTCTCATCCAGGGCGGACGAGAGCTGTGCGCGTGTAAAGCTAACCGCGGGCGCAGAAGTCTGCCGTCCCGAGTCGAGAGACATTTCCTTTCTTCGCGTTGAAGAAGGACCGCAAGCTTGACCAGCTCTCTACAAGGCTCAAGTGCACAGCGAAGAGGTCTGTGCCACAAAACCAGCGGCACTCCATCACAACGGGAAAGATCGCACCCACTAGTCATGGAGCCTCCGAAGATCCTCCTCGCCTGAGCAGCCGCTCACTGCTCTGAGACATTATCCTACGTGAAGTGCGTCGCACAAATGAAACAACTTTGTGGGTTCTTTCCCGTGCCCTCAGACGCAGTGAAGCGATGGGTTTTCCTCGGGAGGGAGCGAAGGGGGTTGTGACTGCTGGAGTGGACACTTTATCCTCGGGACAGAAAGACCTACAGTTTCGTAAACAGCACAGAAAACGCCGTGATGCACATTTAGAGGTCTGGACGTGATTAGGCAACAATCACGCCAACTGCAAAGATCATTATTAATTTATGGCAACAGTAAGGCGTACAAGTTAGCTCCCCTTTCCGTTAACTGGCACAGCCGATCACCATTCCCACTTTAGCGACTGTAGTTTCTGAAGTGACCTGCTGAAATGATGGACCATCAAAGACGTCGACCATTCGTTTCAACGCAACGAGCGCTTGCGCTTATATAACGTCCTCGAGCAGGGTAACGTCTCGGAGCGCTTATTGTCAAAGTCTGGCGATAGATGAAACCACCCACGATCAGAACGGCCACCGCCAAACTCCAAATCATTAAGCGCCGTTGCATTCCACGTTTCAATTCTAACACCCAAGGTAGGAACAGAGACCGGGGGGATAGAAGGACAGGGCTAAAGTCCTGAAGCCTTTCACCAACAACGGTTGCTTTTTTGAGACGTGCGCGCAGCTAAAACAAGAGCAGGCTTCGTGGCGTCTGCAGAGTGGAGCTCCCATCCCCATTCTTTAAGCTGGGAGGTGCATCAATCTCCTCGAGACGCGGGCTAAACCAGAAAGAGTTGGACAACAGCAGGTGGTGTGTGTTCAGCACCAGCACAGATGTCACTGTCCGCTGGGATGCAACTCGACATCTAAGTCCCTCCTGAGGACTCTTTCGAATCTCTGGGAACAGTATTAATTGCCTCCACCTGGAATGCACAGCACCTGGTGACAAATTACTTACTTAGAAAGTTACTCCAGTGCAATAGTGTCGCATCGTAGCAACACTTATAATTCAGTAATCTAAAGCTAACTGCCATCATCTCTATTAGAAATAAGGCCCTATCAACCGTAATTTCCCATTTATCTTAATTAACCCCCTTTCCCCTCTCGGATTTCAAGAATGAATGAACAACAGCAGAACTCCTCGTCTCAACAAATAACCTCTGGTAAGATTGTTGGACTCGCAAACTGAGATGCGTCCAATTGACTTGAATCACTGAACGCATGTTCTGAAACAGAACTATACCTTGGTGCAACGTACAACCTTAGGAGACACAGTGGCCCTTTTGATAGGATAGTTTATTTCATTAGTGCACCACAAGGGAATCCTGATCTTATTGGTAACAGGAGAGTTGTATTATTAGAACTGTTTCAAAGGGAGAGAGAAAGAGAGAGAAAGAAAACCTCCCTTCCTCTAAAACCCAAACAACAACTCAAGTAATGATAAATAATAATAATCCTTGCATTTGATATAGCGCCTCATCACATCATCGAGACGCCTCAAAGGGGTTCACGAATATACTGCGAAGCGAATTAACCGTCTATTTTGCGGGCGAAACGCGGCAGCCAATTGTGCTCTGCAATGTCCCATAAACCATCCGTGGACTGAGTGACTCATTATTTTTAAAAGAATTAACCCCCGGAAAATCGAACCGCCTTTCTGGCCAAACCAGTGTGAAAAGAGCACCAGTAAGAATTATTGGAATTGCAATCTGGGTGGAGGTCATCTGACCCATTGACCCAGTGCTGATGCGGGGTTCTCCAATGGGACTATTTACACTGAGTTCCAGTCCCTGTTCCGTCCTGATGACGTATTTAGATGTTTTCTTATTCAAATAGCTATCGCGCTCCTTTGCAAATATCGCTGTGGTCTTTTGCTCCAGTGGTCATTTTTGGCAAAGTTGTCCAGTAGCTCAGTGGTGAGAGCACTCGCCTCATAAGCGAGATGACCCGGGTGTGATTCCCGGGCAGGGCGAAACTTTGGGCAAGTTTTCTTTACTCCACACTCCTCTGTTTACCTCGCAGGAAGTAGGAATCCGGTTGTTAGTCAATTGGCGGATCGCTTTTCCAGAAGTAATAAAACATCCCCCCACAAATACTACTAATAATAATTTGGTCACTCAATCCACAGTATATAGTCTGTGGAACACCGCTGTGTGCAATTGGCTGACACGTTTCTCCTACAAAATATACAGTCAATTCATTGCACAGTATATTCTGTGAAGTACAAATGCAAGGGTTATTATTATTATTATTATTATTATTATTATTAAGTATTCCATGTTGTGTAATACTTCTTGGCATGAAAAAAAATCTTCTGAAGAAACTAGGAAATAACTGGAATTGGGATCATTCCGTCAACATTCGCAGACACTACGACTTGGTTTCTGATTCCGCTGGGAAACATAGAAACAGGCCGTTCAGCCCCTTGAGCTTGTTCCGCCATTCTATAAGATCATGGCTGATCTGCAGCTCAAGTCCAATTACTCACCCTTGCCCCGTATCCCTTAATATCTATCCACCTCAGTCTTGAAGATGTGAACGGATCCAGCATCCACAGCCTTTTCAGGGGGAGAGAGTTCCAGATTTCCACTACCCTTTGGGTGAAAAAAAACGCCTCCGAATTTCTATCCTAAATGGCCTAGTTCTAATTTTAAGATCATGGGAGTCTCGGATTCTGCACCTGCTCCAGACTCCTCGGTACAATAATCTCATCGTTCCCATCTGACACTATGCGATCTTTATAATCAGACCGCAAACGCGTACAACATAGTGGTTTATTTCTCTTCAGTGTGGCCTTAAGTTTGCCCGGGTGCACTCTCAACTATCCTGTCATTTCTGACGCAGGCAGTTGATGGCGGGCCTGAGATACTTGGGCTGCAAACACCTCTTTAGGAGCTTGAGAGATATCAGCGCGACACCAAGCTATACAAAAAAAATCTGCAAGTTCCTTTGCTCCTTTTTTACCTCGATGTCTCACGTCGCTCTGAGCTTTGAAGCAGCAAAGGCTAAGCATCAATTTTATTGATTATGGTTTATTGCTCGTAATGGTAAGAATGGAACAATCTTTTGGGAAGGAACGGCGGTTGAAAATGACGCATAAAATGGGCTTTTACTGGGAAATGACAGAAGCTCTAAATACTTAATGCTGCCAGGCAAGCACATCGAGGGACACTTGCTCATACCTCTCTCACATCTAATTAGACCCTTGTTTTATAACCTCATCAGGAACATGTCAAGGTTAACAATGCATCACCGGAATAGAAATAACTATTCCTCCCCTGATGGCTCAGTGGGTAAATGCACAGCCTGGTTAAAAGTAACAACAGTGGGCCCGTAGCACGTCAGTCGCTACTTCAAATCTGATCTGCTGATCTCCATGGGCAACGGTTGGGGTGCGAACATTGGCTTCAGTGACGCTGGATTGAGAAGGCGGGCCTGCTGGCTCGTTTCAGCACGATCCCTGAGTGGAAGTTGTGCACTCGTGGACAGTGGATGACACCAGCTTCGGACTGTCCAGAGCTCTACAGCTCATGTCCTCTCCCGCACCAGGTTAAGCAAGCCAATCATCCCAATCCTTACTGGGCTCTATTGACTAACCATCTCCCAGTCCAAAGCCTCGCCCACCCTCCTTCCATTCCTTCTTCAACCCTACCTTACCGACTGCTCCCTGCGCTTAGCAAAGAGCGGGTTCAAGTCACCCGCCCCCACCCCACCCCAAATCAGTTGGCTGGCTTCCAAGCCATTCTGCCCCACTCACTGGAACTCTCTCCCAGAGGCAACTCCAACTCATCCTTCCCTCTTTTAAGGTCCATCTCAAGACACACTTCTTTGACTGCACTTTTGGTCATCCATCACATGTGCATCACCTTCAACACTCCCTCCATCTCCCCCCCCCCCCCCCCCCAGTTCAGTGCCTTTCCAGGCACTGTCGAGCGCTTTGAGACATCTTCCTGATGTGAGAGGCACTAACTTTATAAATGTGAATTGTATTGCAATGGATAGAGTCGAGGTCAAGCTCGGCTACAATGCTCCGCACAGTGGGATAGCCTGTTCTCTACGCCTTGTCAACGGTTACCTGCCGGGATATTTGTTGGGAGAATATCATGTACCATTGTTTGAGTCACAGTGTGCAGTCAACACAGAGTTGGACGTACACCATTAAAACGCTATGTTCCTTTACAGATGCCAAGAAAAGTCACCACTGTCTAGATTCAACAGAGCATTTGAGTGCTCTGGTACATCGATACCTTTGATGCAACGAAGAAGACCATAATAATAATGCCAACATTAATCCTCGGATTTAATGCAGCCCCTTATCATGTCTTCGAGACGTCTCAAAGCGCTTCACAGTATACATTACATATCTACAGCACCACAGAATATTCGCCCGTGTAGGAACCCTTTTGAAGCAAAGGTACATTCCACATCCATCATCCTCCGCTTCAAAGAATTATTGCTCGTGTTTTATTTATTATTAAGCAATTATTTGCAGTATTCCTGGAAAAAAAGGAACGCATGGGGTTTGCCTCACCCATGAGTCCCGATCCTCGTCTTAAAATAGCCTAAGCTGTAAAGAAAAGACGTGTGCGTCTTAAAAAGGAGTCTAAGTATAGATCTAAGCCTTCTAATGTCTGCTAGCTCTCGCGCATAATCGAGGAAGGAAACCCAACTTGAAATCTAATTTTGTTTTTTTAACTGCGTATCTACGTTAACTACCTGCAGTCATAAATATTCATACCGACGTGTTAGTGTTTTCTATAAAGAGGATAAGTAGGAATAATCTGCGAGCCGATCAGATAAAATATTTATTACACATCATTTGAAGTTTGGGTACGCTTTCACAATTTGCAATTACTGCCAGGCTAAAAGTACTGTAATTAAATGATTTAAAAATAATCAAAAACTATTAGAACAGCATGGAGCACGGATTGAATTTTCATCTTTTTTAACAGTCATTTATTCACGGCTGCATATCGGTTGGTATTTCGATGGTGTGCGCGTGTGTGTGTGTGCGTGTGGTTTTTTTTTCGTGAGTCTAAAAATACCACGGGCTTTAAGAGACAATTAACTATATATTTTGTTTCTGTCCTAAAAGAATCCCTGCGAGGGCTCATTTGTAACAGAGCGCAATCAGCAATCGCCCGGGAGCAATTCTGAAGTCAGATGATATTTTTGGAGCAGTGGCCCCTATCCACATCGTAACTGCTGCATAATTCTGCCAAATGTAGGTGAGTGGGGTGTAGCCAATAACGTGTGGGATATTACCCACGCTGCAGATTCCTCTCACAAAAATAGCACTGCAGTTCCTTCCTCCTCATTTTACAGCGATGTATTCAAATCACCGAACGCATGATGAAATGGATGCTGAATCGTCAAAATGCTTTTTTTTTAAAAAAAAACTCGTCCAAAGCCCAATAACGCCTTCGTCGTTTTGGATTGTTTTTCAATTAAAAAAAAACACTCCCTCAACCAACTGAATGAAACCCATGTCATGTGACGTTTTATCGTCTGCTCTTGTCAATTAAAATTCCAGCGTTACAAACCAGTCGTGTGATAAAAGTAAGTTTTTCGTGGCTTCGGTGTTTTTCTCAATCACTGAAATCTGCAGAGAAAGACGGTTGATGAAATAAGAATAAAATTGGCCGCATTTTTTCTGGAAAAAAATACTGAAGCGGTATTTTGCATTTGAACAGGTATATTTGGGGATCTTTTAAAAAATTCATTTGTTTAGAAACATTACTGAAATTGCCTAATCTCTCTCCGTCAATGTTGTCAGTAGTGTAACATCAATCTTGTGCCTCAGCTCGTTAAAGTCACATTTCAGCTCATTCAATGCCAATAACACAGATTTCAGTGTTGGATTACTTCAGGGAAAAATAGGTATCATTTTGCATCAGTGATTTCAGTCGCAATGAATCTAACCATTGCTTGTCTGACACGTTCAAACAAAACATATCAACATTTTGGTGCAACGGTATGATGGATTAGCAGCTTAATTGGTTGCTGGTCAAACAATCTAATCTGCTTTTCTTCGTAATAATAATAAAATAATAATGCTTCCATTTGATATAGGTCCTTTCACGTCGGGAGAGTGCTTTATGGCTTTCACAGGGTTTGCTGTGACCTGTGACGACTGTGTATTTTGAAAGGCAAACCTGACAGCAAATTGGCACAAAAGGAATGTCCCACAAACAACTACTTGGATTTACACACCCCTCTGCGTGTGGGATAGCGTCTCAGAGCATTTAACAGGAGAATGGCCGTAGAGAAAGAACATTTTCTCAGTAGCCGGTGCCATTCATTCACTCACTCAAGAAACGGCAGCTTTCTCAGATAGAACTAGAAATTTATCCTTTAATTTGATGTCACGCTTCCAAGTCTCGAAGTGCTTTACAGTAATTACTGACTGTACTTGAAAGTGAACAATAGTTCAAAGTCCAGAAGGACACTTGCAAGGTTTCGGGCAGTTGTCTCTTAAACCAAGTTCCTGTCTGTCCATTCAAGTGGACCTTAAAGAGGCCATGGATTCCTCCGCCTTATCCCAACAATAAGCGCCCTGAGATGCTACTCACGGGAACATGTTCTTGTCGATGATGTTGAACAAGGCTCATCATTTATACACATCAATCTCCCGCCAATAGCTATGAGGTGAATGAACAGTTTGGGGAATCATTGGCCAGGAAACCAGGAGAAACCCTGTTCCCTTTTCGAAGAGTCTCATGGGATCTTTAACGTCCACCCGAATAGACAGACGGGACCTTGGTTTAATGTCATCTCTGGCCATGCAGCAACAATGCAGTGTCATTATTCCCAACACGCGGTGTGAACCCACGACTTTCTGACCGAGGCGGGAGTCCTACCATTGCAAAATGCACAACATCTGTTGTAGGGGAAAAGTGCCTGGATAGCCAGCGTAGCAGACTTTGATTTGAATGTCCCGGTCTATACTCCTGCCTGGTCCCCAAAACACTGCCTAGCTGAACGCAGCCCAATTCTGTGATCATGGTGAGATGTTAGCCTGATTCAGTCGGCACAGCTTTTCCTCCGAGTTATACGTTGATGGCCCACAGTCCAATCTAGCACAGTGCTCGGGGAGACTTTGCATGGTTGTGGACGCTGCCCCTTCAGATGAGACGTTAAATCACGGCTCGGTGGATGTTAAAGATGCCATTGAACTCATTGGAAAAGAGAAGGGAGCTTCTCCTGGTCTTCTCACTGATCATCGCACCCAAAACGCACAGCCATTCCACTTTGCAATATCACACGTGAAGTGCTTCGAGATGTCAATCCCGACGAGAAAGGTGCCAAACCCAATGTACCACAAACCGTTATTGTTGTTGTATATGAGAACAATTCCACAAATTAAAATGGGCCGTTCACTTCTCACCCGTTTACAGGACATTTACTCCGAGCAAATTGGCTGCTGTGTTTCACCTACAAACACGAACTCACTGCACTTTACAGTGAATCCTCTGAAGCGCTTCGAGACGCGTATTGATGATGTTGTGAGGGGCTACGTAAATGCAAGGCTTATATATATTTTTATTGTTATTTATAAGATTCATTTAAGGCACCGGCATCCTTTGACAACTAAAGCCAGTGTATCCGTCTCTGGAAACAGCAAGTGCGAAAGAAATCTTTAAAATATCAGTGTGGATATTCTCTTTCAATAAACGTGTTCTTTTTCAGGCTTGAATTCTTTTGTTTTTCACAGACCAGTGGCTCTTGTCAGAGTGGTATTCAAACCCGGGGATTTTAATTACTAACGTCAAAGACAATCGAGGAGTATTCCACTTGGCGAAGTGGCATTATTCGATACGGAGCAATTCAAAAAGCATTAATAAATACCTTAAATCATTAAGGCATCCATAACGCTGGGATTAAGACAATTAGAGACACGTAATCTAACATTTTAATGGTTCAGTATGAAATGTATTCAAGCATGTGGGTGATTTTAATATATGCCGTAAAACACTAGGAGCCTGCCATGTTATTATTTTAATAGAAATCTGCAAAGTACATGCATATGTTTAATAGCAAGACTTCCTGCTGCTACTTTTTTAACTTCCTGCCCGGGAATAACGTGGAAAGACAGACAGGGTGGACAATGACGGGATCTAAACCCTATCAGTTCTACGGGCTGCAACTTGGGGCAAGAAATGGTCATTCATCAGTATCAACCGTGAACTGAATTGTATGAAAACCTGAAATAGAATAAAGTCTCCGTTAGGAGATCGCACATCGGAGAAATATACAAATAACCTGCACAGGACCCCGCTGATCCCAAACTCCGCCACCCACACTAAACCCCGTACCCCCATCACACCAGTTCTAGCCAAACTCCACTGACTCCCTTTCGCCGAACAGATCGAACTGAAGATCCTCACACTCGTTCTCAAATCCCTTCATGCCCTGGCACCTCCCCTATCTCTCCGACCTGTTTACCCCCGCCCTCCGCCCCCCGCCAACCCGCAGCCTCCGCTTGACACCCTCCGGCCTCATGCATGTCGCCCCTGCCCTCCGTTCCACCATTGGTGACCTTGCTTTTCAGCCACTGTGCCCCAAAACTCTGGAATGCTCTTCCTCTATCCCTCCGCCTCGCCCTGGGACGCTACCCTGCGTGGGGGAGGGGGCGGGGGGGGGCGCTATATAAATGCAAGTTGTTGTTGTTGCTACGGCACTCTCTTTCCCACTTCATTGGTTGCGAATTGTGACCGACCACACGCATATAACCTACTGCGCAGAGGGGGGGAATCCCGCTGGTAGATTGACTGTTTTTGATGTCACTCTGAGGTCCCAAATCTGCCCCTGGCCTCGGCGTGTCTGACGATTCCATCTTAAAACTCTAAGGCTTTTCGATTCCAATTTAGAGTTTGCGGGATCAAGCCCCGCAACCGTCTGCAATTCTTCCCGGTGACCTCAAAGCATCAAAGCAGAAAGCCCACTCCTAACGCTGACGACGAGGTGGATGTTCAGGTCTCTGGTTAGGCTGGACCTGACAGAGCCGTGGTTTTCATTGCAGTAAAAGCTTTCTCCGTGGGCTCCGACCGACCACGGTTTCCATGGTAGCAACGATAGCCGAAAATACACTCGATGCATCCAAGGCAATAGCTTAAGATCCATTAATAGTATATTTCATCTTCCAATTTTCACTCTCATGTTTCTGATTCCCAGGGATTTATTACCGCTTGTTGTTTTCACCAGAATGAAGAACCGCAGGAGTTTTGTAGCGGGTAAGAGTGTTGCTTTTGCATCCCGCTGTAAATAAAATCTCTTTCTGTAAGTCTATAAGCTTGCCTGCGTGGTATTATCCACCAGTCAGATATATTTGTATTTGGGCTGTGCAGCACACAAATACATATAATAATAATTATAATAATAATAGCAGCAATAATCATAATCCATGCTTTTGATATCGTGCTTTTTATGTCGGGAGGACATCTCAAAAGAGCTCAACGCGATTCATCGTGAAGTATTACGACTGTGTATTTTGTAGGCAAATGCGAAGTCCCTCAAACAGCCATTAAATAAATGAACAATTTTATTGGGGTGAGTGGGGCGGTGGCCAAGACACTGTGAGAAACCGCCTGCTCTACATAGGATAAACATAGGGTGCAAAGTAATTGTCATGGGGAAGACTAAAGGTCAATTGACCTAGCGTGGAGTCCTGTAGCTCAGTGGTTGGAGCACTCGCCTCGCAAGCGAGAGAGACCTGGGTTCGATTCCCGGCCAGGGCGAAATGTTGGGCAAGTTTCCTTACTCCGCACGCCTCTGTTTACTCGGCAGTAAGTAGGAACCCGGTTGTTAGTCGATTGGTGGGTCGCTTTTCTAGGGGTAATAATCTCTTCCAAAAAAATTAATCGGTCACTTCAATCCACGGATGTTTGCGGGGACACTGCTGTGCGCAATTGGCTGCTGCGTTTTGCCCACAAAGTATACAGTCAATTCCCTTTAGAGTATATCCTGTGAAGCGCTTTGAGACATCTCGAAGACGTGATCAGGCGCTGCATCAAATGCAAGGATTATTATTAATATTATTATTATTATTATGACAGGTTGTCTCCTACATGCAGTCTGGACCGAGGTCAAAAATGCAACCAAATAGTTTCCACGTTTGCCGGGGACAAAATACTGCTTGCGGGAACGGTTGCCGGTCTACCACGAGACACAGCAGGCATTGCAGACCTCAATGAGCATTGCGTACAAATGACAAACGATGAAATGGTCCACATTGGTCCCAACTATTACAGCAGCACAGTTCCAGTTATTCCGCAAGTATTGTTTTCTCCCCCACCACCACCCCCCGCACCAATGGTGACTGCGTTTTAAACATAAGTACGGAGGAG